GGGGGGGCGCCTGGGTGGCTCAGTCAGTTAAGCGGCTGCCTTCGGCTCAGGTCATGATCCCAGGGTCCTGGGATGGAGCCCCGCGTCAGGCTCCCTGCTCAGTGGAGAGTCTGCTTCTCCCTCTCTCTCTGCCTACTTGTGCTCTCTCTCTATCTCTCTGTCAAATAAATAAATAAAATCTTTAAAAATAAATAAATAAATAAATAAATAAAATAAAAAACTGAAAAATGTCCATTGTGATTGAAGCTTAATTAATGATGAAGAGAAAGGATATGAAATGAGACTGGAGAAATAAGCAGCAAATAAATCAGGCAAATGTTTTAGGCTGAAAGGGATTCTTAATTTTATCTTAAAAGCAATGGGAAGCCACTGAAAAGGTTTCATCTAGGTGGCGGTCTCCATCAGGTTGGGCAGCGACAAAATACCTCAGACTCGGTACCTTAAACAACAGAATTTATTTCTCACAGTTCTGGAGGCTAGGAAGTCCAAGATGATGGCACAGATTTGGTGCTTGGTGAAGTTTCTCTTCTTGGCTTGCAGATGGCTGCCTTCTCACTGTATTCTCACATGGTGGAGAGTGAGAGAGAGCAAGCTCTCTGGTCTCTTCTTATAAGGGTGCTAATCCCATCATGAAAACCCCACCTCATAACCTCATCTAAACCTAATGACCATCTTAAGGCCCCATCTCCAAATATTGTCATACAGGGGACTAGAGATTCAACATATGAATTCTGAGGGGACACAATTCAGTTCATAGTGGTGGTGGTAGTGTGTTTAAAATACAGGTTTTATTATTTTTCAGGTATTGTGAGGCCAACACATCAGAAGATGACTGCCATTGAAAAGATAGTTATTCACAGTTCCTAAGAAGCGACATCCCATGCCAACCAGGGCCACATGGGAAAGCACCAGCATCAGTCATGAGGCAGAATGAGCAAGGGGAAAGCATGGATGACATGCTTTACAGTGGTTTCCCAGCGAAAGGCAAGGTAAGAGAGGGCAATCAGGCTTAGCATTGGCTAATTTGAATAATTTCAGCAGGCTCTAGGGTCTAGGGGCTATCTTTAGTTGTCTAGTACCTGGCCCTGGGGTGATCAGAGCAGAAGAATATTGTCTCCTGGAGTGTAAGAGTCAGAAAAAGAAGGTAGTTTAAAGTATGGGCTCTCGATTGGTTAGTCTGAATATGAAAGGTGCCGTCCAGGGTGAGTTATTTGCTGTATCTAAGAAATGGCCACCCCTGGAAGGGACAGTCTCTCCCTAGTCAGTGAGGCTCCAGATGCCAGAGCATCAAGAATACAAAAAATAAGAAAATACAGTTATAATGGACTGAATGTTTGTATCCCACCCAAATTCACATGTTGAAACCCTAATCCCCAATCCAGTGGTATTTGAAGATGTGGCCTTTGGGAGGTAATTAGGATTAGATGAGGTCATCAGGGTAGGGGTCCTCATGATGGGATTAATGCCCTCATAAGAAGAGATACCAGAGAGCTTGGAAGAACCCAGTCAAATACCATGATTTCACTCAAATGTCGAATTTAAGAAAGCAGAAAACAAAGGGAAAAAAAATAAAAGAGAAACAAATCAAAAAACAGACTCTTCACTATAGAGAACAAATTGTTACCAGAGGGGAGGTCGGTGGGAGGATGAATGAAATAGGTGAAGGGGATTCAGAGTACACTTAATGTTAAAAATAAATAAATAAAGAGTACACTTATCTTGATGAACAATGAGTCATATATGGAACTACTGAATTACCATACTGTATACCTGAAACTAATATAACATGTATGTTAACTACACTGAAATTAAAACAAACAAACAAAGGTCATTTAACACACACACACACACACACACACACACACACACACACACAAAAGGAGTGGCTACCTGTAAGCCAGGAAGACAGCTCTCACCAGACCCAACCACGCTGGCACCCTGATCTCAGACTTCAAGCCTCCAGACCTATGAAAAAATACATGTCTATTGTTTAAGCCACCTAATCTACAGTATTTTTGTATGGCAACCCCAGCTGACTAATACAATAATGAACATATGGTGCCAGATCAGGTTCGTGTGGAGCGTTCTGCAGGGAAAGAGCATAGTGGTGGGAGGGCTACCTAGGAGGTTACAGCAGTCCAGGCCAAGGAAAGTTGCTACTTGGATTAAGGTCGCAGAACTGGGAATAGATATAAGTGACTAGACTTGAGAAACATTCAGGAAGTAAATTAAACAGGGATTTGTGATTGATTGATACAAAGGTGAGGGAGAAGAAACTCCTAAGGATAACTCCCAGGTTTGTTGCCTAAATACTACAGTTGATG